CTCGTTCTAATATGAAGTTAGTAGTCTATTCGATCGATCTCTAAGATCGAGCATAGCGAGAGGTTTAAAAAGACTAAGGTATACTTATAGGTACTTCGTACGTAGGGGGTGCCTCTAGCTCTAGTTCTTTACTATTAGGCGTCTATATAGACTTAACTATAAGAGACAGGTCCTTTATGCCGCTATAAGCATTAAATTAAATAAGGTCTATAGCCTTCTTCTAGCGCTTACCACTACCCTCGACCCTAGTAAGAACAACTGCTTTAGTCTAACGGAGACCGCGAGCACCGGTCGATGTAATTAAGGCCTTAATTTTCTATAGATAGAATAGCGCGATCCCTTAACCTTCTAAATAAGGTATAACAGTTTCATCCATCTCTTTTAAAGCCTCTGCCTATGGTTTGTTACTGTCGGCAAGGCTAGTGTCACTTTTAGAGATCCTTTAGTGGCCCTAGCGTGTGTTAAATTAAAGCTTAAATGGAATTGGGATAGGAGGTGCTATAGCGATAGGATCTGTAGTGACAGCAGACGAATCTAAAGATACTTTCTTCGCAGTGGCGGTCTTATAACCCTTCGGAAGGTTGCTACGAAGTTTGGTGACCTTATTCGTAGTAGTGGTTAATCGGCGAGTGGTTAGGGCTAGGTTGTTGTATAGCTTCGCGGGTCGATTTTTAGTTGCTAGGGCCTGTATCTTGGTCTTTCTTAAGGTATTTGATGTCCGTTCTTTGCCTAACGTGTTCGCAGCATTAGAAAGTGGTTTCCTACTAGCGGATACCTTTTTTAGAGGTGGTTATGGTAGTTGGGTAGAGGGAGGATGTTTTGCTGTAACCTGACGTTAGGTGGATTCGGGGAGTGTTTGTTGATTAACAAGACGAACTGGCGCTTTTCTACGGGTTGATCGAGCCGGTATAGCAACAGGAGCACTAGAAGGACCAGTTTCCAGCTCTAGATCGAAGTGTACATGCCGTCGCGTGCCCCGGTGTGCGGTAGGAGGTGCTAGCGAAGGTGGAGCGGTTGAGAGGCTCGAGTCTCGAGTCCTGCTCTGAGAACGCGTACGAGGGCCAGGACTAGCTGCTACTTCAAACAACGCTTCAGCAGCACTGGATTGGTCCATATTGACGTGTATAATAAGATAATTGACTATGGTAGTATAGCTATCAAGCTAATGGTAGATAGACTAGCTGATCAGAGCATCAAGTTCGAAGTTGGGGGTGGCGAATTCTCACAACTTTTGCACACGTGAATACATAGAATAGCAAACGCCATCGTTCTACCCGTCTCAAATTACGCGAAGTGTTATGGTGATCTTCAGTACTTCATCTTTGACCGTCTCTTCCCATCAAACGAAAGCTTGGTTGATGATTTTGTGGTACTCTGCGCCACGGTCTCGGGATCGGCGTGGGTCACTTTTGACATTGGCCTTCCTCTTGCGTTCGACAATGATTTCAAAAGCCCGGTGTGATACGATATGTTTCGGATGTACTCAGTCGCACAAACATCACTCTCGCAGATTATCAGAGCTTGGCAGAGCATCATGTCGTTGCTTACGAATACGTTTCCGTTGAACACCGGACGGTTAGGTTGTGATTGGAATAAAAGAGAGATTGACAGGAGCTCAAGCTTGTGTTCGTAGGGTGATACTGGTTCAATCTCGACACAAACAATGCGAATGGAAGTATAGCCCCTTTGCAAAGCCCAAAGCAATACCAATTGAAGGACGATTGTCATGTGATTTGGCAAGCCCCGAGCAATTCACTGTTAGGGCAGAGAGACACAAAGTCATTCTTGCGAGTGTGATCAAAGGTAAACTACTCGATGTCTGATAGTGGGTAGCGACTCGTGCCAGGTAAGCCGCAACTCTTTTCACGAAAACACAACAGCCGCTACCATACAGACCACCTTGTTCAGCCAGAATTTGTGTGCCTTGGAAGCTGCATTGGAAATTGGTGTAGCCGAAGCAGCACCCTGGCTGGCAGACGTTGCTGCACTCCCAGTCTTACTCATACCTCCAGTCGCGGTCTCAGATACCTTGCCAGATGCCTCAGTCTGCGCCGCCGCCACAATCGTAAAAGGCGAAAATCCAGGGTTGGGTGTCCATACAATAGTCGCTTGAGTCGGTGTAGCAGGGGACCCCTGCTTGTTATACAATGTCTCGGTGCCATTTGCTGGAAGATCATTGATGGCATGATAGCCAGACATTGCAGCACCCACTGCTGCACCAAAGCCAAGGTCATTTTCGCAATCAATGTTGGGGAGCAGGGCGATGCATTCGTCGTAGTGTTTTCCGTAGATTGCGGTGATGTTATCGGCGGCGAGGAGTGATGGTTGTGTGGTTGGACAGATGTCCCAGATACTGTCGGTAGAGAATCAGTTTCTATTGTCACTGATGAGGGAAGGAGAAGACACGCACGCGGATGCCATGTACGATATCGAGCAGCAGAGGCATGCTGTGCCATGAGTACTGATGTCCGCTGTCGAGGCAAGTGTGTCGAGGTTCGTTTGGTTGTTGGCGCAAGCTGTGATTTGCGTGTTGATCTTCTCAATAGTCAAAGATAGTTTTCCTTTGTTGCAACTGCAAGATCCTGGTGCCGAGTCCGGCGCAGGGAAGTATGGGATAGCGTTTCTGTCGGTGTTTCCACACATGTCTACCATATCGGCAACAGCATCTGAGTATTCGCAAGAGTATGCCTTTTTGCACGTACATCAGCTCCTTTGATCGCATTTCACATCACACAATTTGGGGATAATGAGAAGCATACCCGATTCCAACAACTCTCAGCCGCACAAGCCACACGCTTGGTATTTCTGATACACTCGCAAGCATAGATGCAATCGAGACCGAGATCGGGACAGTTTTGGAGCACACAGTTGGGGTCGTTATTGCAGCTTTTGACGCAGACTGAGCCGCCGCAGTTGTTGCTGATGCATGAGGTGAGTGCTGAATCGGCGGAGTCATAACACTTTTCGAAGCCAGTCTTGTCAATGCAGGTTGAATAGTCGAACGCGGCGCCTAGGACCACTGAGCCAAATCCCATTGCGAGGACAGAGAGAAATGTTTTCATGATGTTTTTCTTCAATGGTGAAGTGAAATCAGAGTAGAGGACAAATTCAAGTTCGAACAGCAAATTCAGTTCTCTTCGAGCATCTTTATGACTCTTCGGACATGCCGAAACGCCCAAGACGCGGATTTTCCTTCCAGCTTGGCGCACTTCGTATACCATACTCGAAAAGTGTCAAGTCCGCCTGACCAAGGCACCTGTGCATCCTGCAGGGCTGAGTCGCGTCGCGCTAAGATCAATACAAGGGCGTGACATTGCCAATACCAACTTTATGTTATACCTGGTACGAGAATGAGAAGAATACTGCAAAGAGCTGATTGGTGGCTGCTATGTCAAACAAATGAGCTGAAACTCCTCGCAAAGCATGTCTTGCGATGCGGTGGAGATTTACGACCTGTTGAGCGACGGCAAGCTCGTCCCCACCAGGCGTCAACAGCCCGTAGGATTCTTTCGCACGTATGGGCAGGCGCTGCACGAGAATTGCAAACAGACGGTGTCCCGGACATATGGTAGCGAGTTGATCCTTGTATGGCGATCATCGTTGTAAGAATACGCTTGCACACTGTTGATGTCGACCGGAAGTCGAAAAGGCAGGACGGAGAACGCGAACGTTGACCCTTGGCCAAGCATTTCCACTCCGCTGCAGATGCGAACGACCCCGACGAGAATGTTGCCAACATGTTCTCCACCAAATTGCTGCCGTATTTTCGGGGAACGACTTTCCTCATTCCGCACGTCCAGCATAGTGTCGCGACTGCAAGACTACTCGTTCAGTCTCTCATGCATATTTTATATATGTTTCGCTTTATCATGTGTATCCGGTGAACGTCACTACCCGGGTGTGAAATATTGATGAGCTCGAACACTAAGACAAAAGTTTCAGGATTATGATTTGTCAGAATCAGATCTTGTATCATATTCTTGCATTGTTTATCGGATTGTACTCGGCATTTATTCTGATTCTACAACGATCATGCTACACATACAATACACGCATCGCAAAGGAACATCTAGCTTCCCTAGGGCATTCGGTCCAGAGCACCCATATCTTGGTTATGTTAGATCAGATCTCCATTTCTTCGTCCATCAACCCCGCTCTTCTTCACTCCCCAAGCAAAAGGCAGTTCGAATAAGCAAAGAGCAAAGTGTATACAAGCTACCTACAGCAACGCCCAGGTCTTGGATTTCTACAGTTTGTTGCTACAACAAGCCACATGACGTTCGCCGAAAAACCACATGACGTGAGAACCAAGACTACCAAGACGGGAAATGTAGACAAGAAACACAAGAGATACAACAGTCGCGTGCTTCAATTCTCGCAAAGCCAAGATACCACAACGACAACCACAATTCACAGGTCACAAAAAATGAACAGAGGGAAAAGAATGCAGAAAAGGTAAAAATTGTTGAAGAAAAAAGGCAGTATCAAACATGCCCACATTATATCAAAGGTATATAGAATCAAGAGTCTAATGAACAGCCCAAAAACACAGCTGCAGCTCTAGATTGTAAGAAACAAAATCATATCTATGCCTTCTCAAGCATCTCGTCACTAGGAGCAACAGAAGTCTTGCCCTCGGCCTCAGCCTTGGTGCGAGCAGAGTCCCAATCGCCATTCCTCTGGCTAATCATGGGACGGTAAGCCTTGCTCTTCCAAGCCTTGCCGACGGTGTTGTACAGCTCATTGACCTCTTCGAGAGAAAGATCCTTGGTCTCGTAGATGAAGGTCCAGACGAAGACAACGGCAATCCAGCAGAAGCCGCCCCAGATCCAGAAGATGTTGGGGCCGAGGTTGGCGTACTGGACTTCGGTGAGGTAAGGAGTGATGAAGGCAAGCAACCAGTTGAAGAACCAGTTGGCGGCGGTGGTCATGGAAAGACACTTGGCGCGGACCTTCAAGGGGAAGATCTCACCAGTGACGACCCAGGCGGCAGGACCGAATGTCGATGCGAAGAAGAAAATATATAAGCAAATGAAGGCGAACTGGGCGCATGCAGAGGTGTAGTCGGTGGGGGAGGTGGCGACACCGGCAGCAGCAACAATGTACTGCGAGATACCCATACCGAGGGCACCGGCAAGAAGAACGGGGCGACGACCGAAGCGGTCAATGGCCCAGAGACCAGGGAAGGTCGAGATGACGTTGATAACGTTGGTGATGACGGAGAGGATGAAAGCACTGGGCAGCCATTGAATCGAGGGGTCGGCAGGAGCGTTTCTGCTGAAGTATGAAGTACCGTAGTAGAAGATGAAGTTGACACCGACAAGCTGCTGGAGAGACTGGAGAGCAATACCAGTGAAGGTACGCTTTCCGGTGTTGCCCTTGAAGCACTCAAAGTATGAAGCGGTTCCGAGAGACATCTCGTACTCGTAGTTGGCGGTGATTTCGGCAAGCTCGGCGGTGATGGCGGGGTGGTCTTCGGGAAGACGGCGGAGGAAGTGAAGAGACTTTCTAGCCTTCTCCTGCTTGTTCTTCTTGATCAGGAAACGAGGAGTTTCGGGAAGCATGCACATTCCAATGCACAGAATCAGGGACCAGGCGAATTGGATGGCCAGGGGGATACGGTATGCGCCACTGTCGTTGCGGTCCTTGGTGGCTAGAAGATATCAGACGCTGAATAAGTGATTGCTTGAGTGACTGAACATACCATAGTTGATCAAAGAGGCCAAAAGCAGACCGATGGTGATGCACAGCTGGTAGGAACCAATGATGAAACCACGGATCCACTTGGGAAGAGTCTCGGCCTGGTACATGGGGATTTGAACGGAAACGAGACCGACACCGAGACCAGCGAAGAATCTACCGGCGATGAACATGCTCTGCTCGGTAGAAGCGACCTGAAGAATGACACCGAGGTTGAAAGGAATGGCAGCACAGAGAATGATACCCCACTTGCGACCAGTCCAGTCGGCAATGAGACCAGCAGCCAGGGCACCAACAAAGGTACCGACTGAGAGAATAGAGACGATCAAGGAGATCTTTCCGTGGGCGGCAGGGTCGTTGAATTGTTCGATCCAGTAAGGCATCTCTTGGATACCTGAGATGGTACCAGTATCATATCCGTAGAGGATACCAGCAAAGGCGGCAAAGGCACCGACCATGATGGAAGGCCATGCTGCACCGACCTCATCGTCGGGCTTCTTTAGTGAGAGGAAACCCATGGTTGTGTGATGGGACTATGAAAAGACCACGCAAAGGAGAAGGAGTTGCAAGCGGGTTGAGTAGAAGATGAAGATCACTGACCAGCACGGAGTGGCAGGCTGCGTGCTTCTTATAGAAGAACGGTACACGAACGGCACCCACCTACGCACGCCAACCTTGGACATTGTAAAATTGGCGCCCCGCGCATGGATCGAAAGTCAACCCTCCATCGCAACTCCCGTGTGCAGACAAAACCGTGCCCCCAGATGCGGAGCACAAGAGTTGGTCCAGAAGTTAGGTTCGAGAGGAATCGGCTACCGTGTCGCGGGGCTTGGCTGTCGAGAGCATGCGGGAAACGGGCGTCCCCATGGCACGCTAGACGTCATGGGTGTTTCTGCCATGGCGGTGCTCCGACACGCGAGCGCCTGTGCGGTCAGGGTTTCTCGTCACATTCTGCAGCGGTTCCTGACTAATGTCGGACCGGGAGGTGATCCATCCGCACAACGACTCCATATGGAGCACGGAAAATGCAGAATACCACCGAGCACAAGGCCGAATTGTCGGGGGCTCACGGTGGAGGCGTGGGGCATCCACAATCCCGAATGTCCGTCGTGCAATCCTTCGAATGCCGCGCTGTTTTTGTGATCTTGTTATCCTCGAGGTCGTCGAGTTATATACACTGTTTTGCTTCGTCGTCAAGATAGGTTTGAGATGACGACGCGGAAATAAGCACGCACGGGGCCATTGCGCCTCGAAAGAAGGTGTGGAACGGGCGATGGAAGCCTTCTCTCGAGGCGTCTGTCTTGTAGGCGCCACCCGCTACCTCCCTTGGCGCTCGTGAAAACACTCCAACAACAGTTGGCGCAATGCGTCGCTTGACCTCCTGACACAAAAGGAGCACCCGAGGGGCTCCGGGGGCCTTGTTCCAACAATCGTATCTCGCTCGTCAAAACCACCCCCGGTTCCCGCAAAGACATCTCTGATCGTGCTGCGCGGACACGAAATAGTGTCGGTGGTATCGCGGTCGCAATCAAAAAGGCCCACATGCCTCTGGAGATTTTGCAAGGAGAGACCAATGCCCCCCACCGTCGACCTCGCGATTCACCCCTCAAACTCCTCGTTCGGCTCCAGCGAGGACGACTCCAGTTTGATCTGATCCTGCTGCGTCGCATCCATGACCCCAAGGTGATTCTCCGCAACCTCCATCTGGATTCGCGACATGTCTCCAGACTCGTTTGGCAGAGAAGGCCCGAATTGGTCGTCGTCGCACTTGACATCTGGATCCTGGAGTACTGGGGTGCATGTTCAAGAGCTGAGAGGTTGCGTTGCTGACACGCTGTGGGCGGTCGCGAGAATATGCAAAACAATCGACAGCATATGCCTGAACGGATCGATTTGTCCTCGAAGAGCTAAACCATCCTCAAAATCTTGTGATGGTGCTAGTTGTGTGGTAAAGGCCCTTGCGCGAGAGGTGTCGCCCGCGAAGGGTGCCAGACAAGACCAACTCCTGCGGTACCATGGCGTAAAATCGGTATTGAAGAATCGAGAAAGCTATAGCAAGCATCTTTCTCAACTTGACGTCTGTGGTACTAGATATATGTACAAAGCATTCATCAACTACGTAGGTAGGAGCTCATGGTGGCTGACGGAGTGTGTCCTGATTGGGAAGTATGTCCGTCTGGCCATTAGCCAGTCAAGCGTTTTGGCCACTTTGCAAAAGAGAGCAGGGTGCTCCCCTTCACAAGCTTTGACGAGATTCAAATGGCGACGACGAGGCCACAACTTCGAAGATCACGCATATGATACTATGAGCACATTTGCTGAATCGTCATTTCTCTCCATTGGTCACTCTATGGTCATGGCTATACTCGTCGTCTCGATATCTAAGTTTATCGTTCTAACACTTCAACATTTTTCAAAAACGACGAAGAACCATTGGTTACTAGCTCATAATACTATTTATAATGAAGGCTTCGGTCAAACACACGAAAAAACACGTCGTATATGTCTAGAAGAGCTTAGAAGCATCTCTTTCTAGCGATCATGACATCCTGCTCGATTTCCTGACCTGGAGAACCAATTCCGAAGCAAACGCGATACCATCCCAGATCCTGACTTGTTGCCAACAAAGCGTACCCACCAATACAACAGCAACACTGCACAAACATCCAACCATGCATATCGCACGCACGATCCGACCCGCAGCCTTTCACCCAATCCCTCGGATCGCACACACATTATGCCACGCGACACATCTCACAACCCTTTCTCCTCAGCATCACTCCAAGTCTCCGCTCCAGAACAAGGGGAGAAGAGGAAAAGAAGTAGGACCGACTACCCGCTCGCGCTCGTTCTCGTTACGCAAAAAGAGATGTTCGAGAACTTTCATAATCCAGATACTGGTGCTTACTCACACGTGCGCCATGCCGCGCCGCGCCTTACGATCCCGAGACCTATAGACGGACTGAGCAATAGCCGACAAAATCGTATACGTGCTGACATCGCAACGGGAAAGTGACATCCGAGAAGGGTTCGGGTTTGTTGGTTCGGTGATGACACGGCGAGATTCGGGACGCCTGGTTGCATTTTTTCTCAATGCATGGACGGAAAGTCATCGGTTGTCGTTGGTTACGCGATACGTTCAAGTCAGCATCGTCGCGTCGCAAATGCGCATAGAAAGCAGAAAAGAAGGAGTTTAGAAAATGATGGAAATTTGGTTCATTGGCATTTCGAAGAATGAGGGAAAAAAAGACGTGACGGTATATACATGAAAACTCCTCTCGTGAGAAGAATAGAAGAAAGGGCTTTGCTCTTAAGCATAAGCTTCCTGAGAGCAAGTGAAAGGCGATCTAACGCTGCCAGAAGCGTAGGAATCGACAATATCCTTGACACTGGCATAAGTGCCGCATCCCAGGATCGTGATCCCAATGACAAAGCACAGCGCGTTGAGGGCAGACAGAGCAATGTTCTTCTTGCTAGCGTTCCACTTGCCCTCCTTGATAAGCAGGAACCAGAACAGAGCTGGGAAGTAGAAGGAGAAGCCTGAGATGAACAGAGCAGAGGTGATACCGAGAAGGTCGCTGAAAAAGGGAATAGCCTCGGCAATTACCCAGGCGAGAACGATCTGGGCAACAAGAACAAAGATCCAGACAATCCAACCCTGCTTGGTGTTTGTGTAACGGATGGGCGAGTTCTTGAAGAAGCGGCCAATCAGGTAGCGGCCAACGACAGTGGCATTGATGGATCCTGAAATGAAGATGACGGGCAGAGCAATACCAAAAGCGACACGGGTGACGATGTGACTACCGGAAAGCAGGGCGGGACTGGCAACGTCGGTGCCAACGAAGGCGTAGATGAGAGCACCAGTCACGGTGTAGATGATGATCTCGATGATACCAAGAGCCCAGATGGACTTTACGTAATCCTTGGGAGTGTGGAGCTCAGCCATGAAGGAGAACTGGCAAATGGCGAACGAATAGGCAAAGACAATGTTGGTGACTGCGAGGAAAGCAGACTGGAAGGTGATGTCCTCCGGAGGCCAGGCACTCCACGAAACAGCAGAAAGACCGCCAACAGCCTCGCTTGACTGAATACCGGTAGCGATGATGGTGATACCGATGGCACCAATAATGGAAGCAAAATCAATGTAACCAAGGATGGCAAACTCGGCGAAAGTGGGAGGAATGGCCAGGAGGAACAGAAGAATGGCCGAGATGACGGACCAGACGAGGGCGCAGACTGTCGGGTCATCGACAATGCGAATCCAGGCGATGGTTCCAGTCAGAGTGTGCGAGGCCGAGAGCAGGATCAAATGGAGAGTGAACATGGCACCAACGACCTCCATTCCGACGCGACCAAACATGAGACCGACAGCATCCGAGTAGTGCTCTACACTGGGGTACTTGATCTTGACCTGTCCAACGACATAACTCGTGTAGATGGCCAGACACCCGATACCGACGGAAAGAATAACACCAGCGACCATACCGACAGCGGCGAAGGCGGCGGGAACCGACAGCGCACCAAGAGCGATGGCCTCGACGATCAGACAGATGGTCAAACGCTTCCATCCCAGCTTCTTGAACTTGGCCTCTCCCTCCTCGAGTGTGGCCGTCTTCTCCAGCTCAGGTACGCCGACCTTGTCGCCAGAGCCCGTCTTGGCGATGCTATCTTCGTAGTGGGGAGGCATGTTGGCGAGGTTGCCGCCAAAGGGACCGAAACGAGCTGCGTCGGGGTGTTCTGGCAGAGACATATATGTGACAGGGTGGGTGACTGAGGGGGACGAGAGCTGGGGGTGGACTCGCTTTTGAAGTAGCAGAGAGTCACAGGCCTATCAGCGACGTGAGCGACGGATTGGCAAATGCGATTGTGTGCAGCTTTGGCCTGAGACTGGGAAATTGACGAATAACGAAGTTTCTGTTACGCACCTGTTACGCACTGAATAGAACTAAGAGCCAAGACGGGTGTTGAGGTCTGGGATTGGATCGAGCAGCTAGAAGCAAAAGCTTGGACTGGAAAGTAGGGCGTGCTTGTAGTGCTTAGGGCGTGCTGCAAGGCGTGGCAGGTGCGATGACTAGGAAAGTGCGCACAGAAAGGAGAGCAGGAGAGAAGGAGCGTTTCGAGCTTGGAAAGAGAGAGTCCATCGACTGTGTGCTTACCATAGCACCTACCGTGTATCCGGTCATGTCGAGTTCTTGTGACAAACAGATATCCTCATACGACGTCGATGGTCGGCGGTCGACTGCTGCTACCCACTGAGTTTTGGCTGGCGCTGATCCAGTCGAGCGTTGTTGGGCAGGTTTGGAGCAAATTTTCTACGACATGACGTCGCCGAGAAGTCCGAGCTGTTTGGCCGCTGGCCCCGAGATGCCGAAAAGGCACACCACTTTGTTTGAACGTCACCTGAGTAATGCCGAAATGCTCTCGCCGGCCAGTTTCGATGCGTAACAACCATCTGCAATTCCAGCGCCGTCGGCCTGTCACTCTCCACACTCTGTTATCGCTGCGACTGCCACAGACGAAAAGATGCACATCTCGAATCGACCTGTGGCCACGCGAGTCACGAGTCATGCTGTCAGCCATTTGCCCTTGTCAGTCATCGGGTTTGACTTTTTTTCTTCTTTCCGCGCCGATACTGGTTGCCGACTTTCGGCTACGTTTCGGCAAGGCGCTTCCGATAAGAGCTTCCCTCTCAGTCACCTCTTGAAGTCGACAGTACTGCGATTTGCGATAGCTGAGCTGCTCTTACTGCTAGCCTGAGCTATTGATAGCGGCTTGATAGCGACTATGTCATTCGACATGTTGTCTCCAGCCTTGTGCAAATAAGCTCATCTCTGGGCTTGTCCAAGCATTGGAGCCGCAGCTTCGGCGCGTTCGGAGCAGACGCGTCGCGACGTCGACTGCATCATCTTCACTCGTCGTCCATCGTCCTTGATCTCTCCACACGCCGACATGCTTTCCTTACTGGGCAGGTCTGCTCTTCAATTCCATCCATCATTTTTTATCTCGGCTGCACTTGCTGTTGCCACTGCTGGTCGCGCACACTACTCGTCAACAACTGACCCCGAATGGACACCCACGCGCCAGTATGCAAACAAGGGTAATGAAGAACGAGCTCGCCGTCTTGCCACCGACCCTGAGTATCGCAAAAGAATATCGGCCAAGCGGAGAGTCTATTTTGAGAGGAACAAAGCGGCAGTGTATGTCCGCCACCGAGAATATATAGCACAGAACAGCGATAAGATCCGAGCTGGCGTGGTTGCGCAGAGGGCGTCCCGCGACTTTGAGAAGCTCTACTACGCCCCAAAAAGAGCACGCTGGGCTTCTGATGATGCTCTCAGGCAACGTGAAAGCTTGAGACTCTGGGTTCGCAAATCATGGGTACGAGATCTCACGTGGCGAACACACAGGCCGATCTTTGCCGAAAAGACCGTTCGTTACTGCGGTGGCTGCAAAATCGATAGGCCGCTCAAGACATGGTGGCAGGACAAGAAGACGGATGAATTTCTATGCCATTCGTGTTTCACAAGCGACTGGTCCAGAGCTTTGCCCGTCGGCTACGAGGACAAGGTCTTTGGCCGTAAGCAACTCAAATCAACCAAGACGACGACTGGGGATAGGCTGGGGCCCGATGCATGAGTCACTTCATTCGGGCGGAGAAAGGTCAGCAGCCTAGATGACTGCCATAACAGAGCATTACCGGACTGTGCCACGCGATCAAGATACACCATCTCAGCATTTCAGTCTCTCTTCACTCCGATCTTTCCCACCTTCCTCAATCCGCCCACACCTGCACACAAAACGACAACCATCCAAGCAAACAAGGCCCAGAACACGGCTCGGTAGCCCGTCATCAACGCTTGAGGACTTGACTTGTCCTCGAAACTCGTAGCTGCTGTCCGTGAATCGGAGATCACAGAAGTGATGGTCAGACCGATGGAAGTACCCAGTTGGGCACAAGTGTTGAATACAGCGCCTCCCAGAGCTTGCGTGTGTGGTGGAAAGATTGCAGAGATGATCAGAAGTCCGACTGTGAACAGGACATTGAAGCATATGCCTTGGAGGAGCTAGTTGTAACAATGTCAGTTGTGTCGCTGGAACTGTGGGTATTGCTTGCGCTTACCTGTGCGAAAAAGGCCATGTACCAGTATGGCCAGCGTGGATTTATGATTGCCATGAGCATGGGAGACAATGCGGATAATCCACAGGCAATCAGCACCATCCACATGACTGGCATGCGATTGACAAAGTAGCCAGTCGAGACATTAGTCAGTACAGCTGTGATCAGAGAAGGCAGGATACGAATGGAGGCACCAAGTGCTGACAGGCCTTGCACCTGTTGGAAGCTGTGATTCGAAGTCAACAATAGTATTCTCAACAACTGGAAGCTGAACGGTGCAAACTTACAACAGACTGGCAAATACTTCCATGCCATTGGTAACCGCGGTGTTGAAAAGAATCATAATGCAAATGCTCGTGAAGCTGAAATCACGCCAGAACGAGTTGGGGATGAGTGCTGGACGCTTGTGTTTTACTTGATGGTTCATCCAGCAAACAAAAGCCGGAACAGTGGCGAGTCCAATGATCAGCAGGGCGATGGTCTTTGCAGTCTTGATATTATCGACATCCGCCGAGAGTGTCCTAGAAGAGCCAACGTCAGTCAGAATCACACTTTGCAGCAGTTGCCAGAAAGCAAGAGAAACACTCACGCCAAAGCATACGACAAACACACCAACCCTGTACTCGAGATGACTGTCCCCACCCAATCAATCTCATCCCTCAACTGCTTCTTGATACACCTCCAAGTCTTCGGCTTCTCGTCCTTGGGCAACACCCACACACCCACGCAACCCGTAGCACAACTTGCAGCAGCCACAAGATAAAACGCCGGTCTCCAACCCACCCCATCTACAAACACACCTCCCAGCACCAAGCCCAGTAAAAAGCCCAACGGTGCCGCAAACCCCAAACACGAGAACCCGATATTTCTCGGTTGACCATCTTGAACTCGCGTAGAGATGATGGATACAGAAGCAGGCACAGCAATAGCATTAGCTATCCCCTGTAATCCGCGGAACGCAATCAACTCTGCTCCGTTCCTAGAAACGCCACAGCAAGCTGCACTGATAGCCAACAAAGCACTGCTGGTGAGCACCATAGGTCTAGTGCCAATGACATCTGCAATACTCCCCGCCAGCATCAGACAAGCTCCAGCAGTGAGATAAAACACCGATGTAGGCCACAGCAGCAGCGACCCTTGCATATGCAATGAAGCAGCAATCGAGGGCAACCCCACCACAATAACGCCATTGCAGAATGAGGAGAATAGTTGCACGCTGATGAGTTGGGTGATGACGATTATCGCTCTGCCTCGTGAGAGTGTTTGGTTAGAGGTAAGCGATGTATCTGGTGATGTCTCGTCGTCGTCAGAGGAGGATCCTGCTTCTGCTTCCGTGTCGGGCGCTGAGTTTAAAAAGGCATCATCTCCCGATAAAGAGTTTCTTTGTGTTGATGGTCCGGAGGGCAATGGTGATTTGTCGTCTTCGTCTGCTACTCCGAGGTTCAGGACCTTCAGTTCCACGGCTGGATGTTTGCCCATTGTTCGTCTTCTTTCTCTTTCAGTTTATTGAATTTGTTCCTTTTCCCCGTGGTCTTGTTTATGCCCGAAATCCAAGAATCCAAAGTGTAAGTAGTCCGAATCGACAAAAGTAAAGTAGGCAAATCGATAGCGAGCGAATCAACAGCCCTTTTTTTTGGTCTCGAAATGCTCTGCAGGGCGCAATCGATATCGCAAGGAGTTCACAATCAGGGCTTTGAAGTTTCCCTGGAGTGCATCACTGGATTTTTTTTTTCCCCTGTGGAGTCCACAAACGGAGAGTATAGAGTTTCCCGACGCGCGGGGTGGGGGGGGGGGAAGAGGTTTCCCGAGCAAATTTGCGGGAAACGCGCAAATGGCTGAAGATGGCGACAGCGCATCATTGTATTCGGTTCATGACAATCTTCCTCTTGTTTGTGACTATTGTATTCAAGCACTGAAAGCGGCTTTAGAGTTTGGGATTCGAGATGGCAGATGCGCGTAAATACGATCGGAAATGACGGATCGAAGGTTATGGTATGTATCGTGAGATTGTATTCGTAAGAAGCTATATATTGACAAATAAAAAGAATGAGAAATACAGACACTCAAACATGCCGACTCGCCATCCAAGGACCCTTGCCATCCCTGAACACTTCGGTTTCAGTGCCGCCGCAAACATCCTGGTATGGCAACCATTGGCCGACATCGTCTCTGGCTCCACCCTTCCACTCATCACTGCTTCTCCATTCTCTGCCGCCTGCGACTGCCAGAGCCGTGAGCGGGGTGTCCATATACTGATCCATGAGTACGCGAGCATAGGGTTGGAACCAGATCTTGTCCCAGACCTTTGTTCGCAGGTTCTTCATGCCGTCACGGTGAGCATTGTGGTGGATGATGGCTGGTGTGAAGCCAGTGGGTACGTTTGTGAAGAGGGGCACTTGAGACCAGTTCTTGAGTTCGAGACCATCTGTGCCATTGCTCTGAAGAGGCACAGCTGTGTTTGCAATATCTTGAGCGATGACGAGTTTGTTGTGTTCGTCGTCAATGTCGCGTTTGTAGTTGAAAAAGTCGATCCAGATCTTGTTGTCAAAGTTGACCCACTCAGTGTCGTCCTCGGAGAAAACGGTAGGAAGGGAGATTGCGCCTTCGTAGTCGAGACCGATGCCGAACTCCAAACTGCGGGTCATGTTTCTCACAGCTTCGAGGTCGTTTTCGTGGAAAAGGTCTCTGCGAGGATCGTCGCTGCGAAGACTGTGTTGGCGGCCAAACCAGGACTGATCTCTCTGTCGCAAAACCTCACGGTATACCTCCTGATCACCGAAGATGGAACCGAAGATGTTCTGGTCGCTACCAAAGTTGGGATCTTTTTTTGCGCGAACAACAGCTTCGGCGAAGAGCAGACGCATCGCTCCCGCTGTACCTACGACGACTCCTGAGTTGAGGTAGCGAGGGCGGAACTTGAGGTATGGGTTTTGGTCGTGTACATCTGTGTCCGTGTCTGGTCCAAAGATGTCTTCAGGAAGAGTCGAATTAGGGACGGCGTAACAAGGTGGTGCGTCGGCAGCCCATGGCCAGCATCTCTTCTGTGCAGAGAATACAATCTTCTGCTCGATTCTGTTGATGTCGGCGACATGATCTCCCAGCTCGCGACGAATGCGTTCATTGGCTCGTCGGTTGATATCAAAGTAGCGTTGGATGAGTGTCTCGGGTCTGAGTTGGAACCAGGTGTCGTAGCCGTCCGTCATAATGATCAGATCATCATCCTGCTCTGGTGAAAGACTCTCCAGATATGATGAGACACCGCTAATTTTTGCGATGTGGGAGCCTCCGGAGACGAGATGTTCGTCATTGAATGTTTTTCCCCAGTTGAGGACCTTGGGTGATGGATAGCCAAGGATAGCAGCACCAACAATGGCTTTACAGAGATTCTCGTCCTTGCCTGATGCTGGTATGAGAAGATGAACGTTGCCTGGGTTTGCCTGCGGGATTTCTATGTGAGATATCGTTGGAGCCGTCTGAGAAGAGTCAGTCGTCAGGGTGCGGTCAACCCAGCAGAACAGCTTGACATACTCCTGTGAAGAACACAAACATGATAGCTGTGAATATAAAAGATCCTACAATGACCGGCAGACGCGCCATTCTGGCTCGTGTGTTGCTATAAGTCCGTAGACGATTGAAAGCTGATTCTTGCGCCCAGCGTGGCGACTGTGGTAGCTGCTCATACTCATACTTTTTCTCGTGCATGGTATTGTAGCCTATCATTTTGAGAGAGTGTGATGATCGACTGGACCAGCCAAATCGAAGTATGCTGGTTTAAAGAGAGTGTGTGGTATAACGCGGTGGCAGCGTCAAGAGTGGACAAACGCGCCAGAACAGCTTTAGGGTGTCCATGGCAGTTATACTCGTCGCAAATGGCGTCTCTTTTTTGGTTGCCAGGGGGTTTGCCTTCCAAGGAGCTCCTATCTCGTACCGTTTCAACGCCCTCCGTTATAACGTCGCAATCCGGAAATGCCATCGCCCGCAGGGTTGCCGCGCAAAGCCATATTTTCGATTCATACTGAGTCAGTGTCATTTGTTGTTGCTGCCAAAAGTAGGCATAGCTGCAGGGTACAGAAAGGAGTCGCGGTCATGCATTGAAGTGGCAGAGACAGAATGGTTGGGTGTGGATGGTCTGGCGTCGCCATTTCGTCGAGTCTCGATGAATCGATGCGCCCCTGTTTGCCAAGCCCCGGCACTCTCAAAGACAATGTTTTCCTCATGACGACTCAGCATCCCTCAGCTGCAAATTATCGATAGAACGACATGATCCACAAAGTATCCAACGTGCGTGTTGCGAAGATCAAGTCTACGCGTCCGTTGAGCAAGGGCAACATCCAAGATACTAGCAAAGATGTGCCAAGCGCACTTTCTCGACGCATGTCTGATCAACACGGCCATCAAGTCGATATGTACGATATAACAACGGGAACACGAGGCTTTAATCCAAGACACGGCAGCAGCAGAAGTGATCCTGTGCCCGTCGCCGTTGGTTCCCCATGGACGTTATTGCCGTGCTCGCCGCAGCATTCTTCTCTCATCAGATGCGCAAGACGTTCAACTGTTGACGACATTACTTACGAGTGGTTATGAGGCTCTCGTATACATTTGCCCTGCTGTGCCCTGCTTGGGAAGACCAAAACGTTTAGTGCATTGTTGTGTTCGCTTGCAACTGCTCTGCTCTTCGTCGTCTTTGGAGTCCATGTGTCGGCGGTCTGCAAGACTGAGCATCGAGCGCAATGAACGTCGAGAGACTATCAGATGTTGATAGCATCTAAGGTCGAATGTGCTTGCCAGCGCGAACCTCACCACGCGCTCGCGAGACTGCGGAGCGTGGCACCAAAGCTTTGTTTTGCCCGTAAGCAAGGAGTAATTCAGAAGGACACAAATGTTGACGTTGATCCAGAAACTCGATGTATTCTGCAAAGCACTCACTGGCTGTGACGGTAGAGCAGAAACAAATGTGGTTGTCGAACACTCCAAGGAACTCGAAGATTGCGGCACGGTATAGCCCCACTGATCGGCGTCGCATGGGTTACACAGGCTTGGCCGTCACCACAATTTCTTCCTCCTTGACTCAGCAACTCAAGCTCATCATTATGGTGTTACGCTCCAGTGTCACGCGAGGGCTTCGACTCTCGAAGCTGCAAGGTCGTGTCGCTGCTAATGCCAGCCAGCCATGAATCAATCACTACCGGCTTGCCGCAGGACTTCCGTCCATCAACCGCACAAAGTCAACAAATGCAAGAAAGCTGGACATGGCCACTGTGATGGTTTCCGAGACCAAAGATTCCGCGAACACTTCACCAAAGGAACGCTTTCTAGACCGTTGGTGATTTCGTGCTTGGAGGATGCAGACCATTTTGATGAACCAGGCAGTCGAATGGGCGAAGCTGTTATCATGGGGCTCTATGCTGAACAACTGCAGGCAGAACTGCAGTTATATCATCCAAAACATCCAGATCCGTGGCCTTTGTTCATATGGTGGCGCAAAGCTGAACACGACCAAGACCATCCCCTTCGCCACATACAGTCACGAGGATTGATGGTTGGCTTGAAAAACACCTGTAGGGATTTGCAAGTCGTCCTAAGGCATCAAGGGAACCACGAAGAAGCCAAATGGCTCGAGGGACTTCTCTTCGAAGTGTTTCCTCCAGACAAAGAATTCCTAGGAAAGTCACGTAGGAAAAGACTGAGTGTGGATGGCAAGCCCCTTCCAAGCCTCCGCTTACCTGAAGAACAATAAGCAGACTCAGATTCACAAGCAGACTTTTCCAAGATATCTCCAGCCTTTCTGGATTATCACCACTCAGACTAAGCCGACTATCTCCCACAATACTAACGCAATCGCTCTCGCCCTTTCCGAAACGCCTCTCACCGTACATCAACCCTAAATTCTGCATTGCCGACGTGATGACACCTGATGTTTCCCTTACACTCTCTGACCATTATCTCCGCCATTCAAGATCGACACTCGAAGAACCCTGATACCGCTCAAATCCGCCATGATGCCCAAGCATCCTGCCAAGGACCACATGGTCGCCACAAATGCAGGCCGCAGCAAATCCTTCAAACGTGGTCTCGATCACGTGGTGACTGCAGAGACCGTAGGTGTATGGTTCTAAGTTCTGGAAGTGAGAACAAGCGCACATCATCAAGAAGAGTCGATATAGTGATCTGGGGAGCGATGATAGCTATAAGGGCACGAAGGTTTGCCACTAGCAAGAAGAATACAGACACACTGTTACAACAAGGTAGTCGTCAAGGGAACAATTGCGTTATAAACAAAGTGCCAGACCAAAGATGAAAGGGCATAGTCCTGTACAAGCAATATACATACAAGCACCAAGATACCAACAAGACGCGCAGATAAAATCCACCCAATACAGGATCGACTCCCCTTTTGGAGACTGTATTCATGTTTACACGGTATTATTTTATATACTCTCAAGCATCAGTCCTTGAACCTGCACCTTGCGCCGCTTACAGGTATAGATATGGTGAACCAGAATAGGTGGAGTACATCGAACATTTTTCTACTGTATTCCAATCCTACGATCTTACAATTGTCGAGTCAAATTATCTCGACAGAGCTAAAGTTGATCGAAAGCTGAAGACTGCCTATCATGCTTGGTGATATCCTCTTTTGACAAGTCGTTCAATCGATTTCATGTTTGCGAGTTTCGATGTTGGTGGGGTAAAAGTGCGTGCGTGCGGTTTTTCCATCACACAGATTACCACCGTTTGGCATTGCGGTGGGCTTCAGGTTGCTTGCTCCCCTATGCTCTGTCTGATGATAACAAGTGCCTATCACTCCGAAGGGCCAAAGACATACGAATATCTGTTCTGTTGCTACTTTGTGAAGTGACGATGCTGCTGAACCGACAACGAAGCATGATTACTTTCCGCAATATGGAGACCTTGTTGTCTCTGAACTGAAGACGATGTCATTTTGCATGCGTATGGTACTTAGTTCAGATTCGGGTGGCTCGATGACATTTCTTCACACCACTTGCTGCTTTTGGTATGGTTGTACAGAATGAGTGGTTGTTCATTCACCACTCAGATTATGTCGTAATGAATTGGTCCATTGAGCTTGAACCGTGGTGTACTAAACGTTTCATCGGCCATGGTCGGTTTACATGCAGTGATGACCCATGGTATGGACAGCGAGTCAGTACCTAGTCTTCGGCTTCCTCGTTCTTCTGCATCCAAGCTATAGCCACAGATTTGTGTATCAGAACGGTGTACACTTCTTCCTCCTTCTACACGCCCGGCGTCAGCTGGAAATATCGTAGAGAATGGTGAAGAAGTCAACATGTGGTTCAGTGTTATGGGTGATCAGTGGGGAAGAGACAGGATTGATGGAAACAGAAAAGGCACAGAGAGAAGATTAGGTTTCTTGAAGTCGGCAAGTGGTTCAACTACCTGAATGGTGCAAACACATAAATCTGCAGATACTGGAGTCAATGCAATGGTGAGGGAAACGATCAAGATGTATTGCGTAGCTGTATAGAGGAGACGTAGAGCTAAGAAACAACAAGTCCGTAGCCACACCATCCTGATGGTGGAGCGTGTTTCGTCAGAAGTCCGAATCACTCGCGGCCATGGCTTGCCCCTGAACAGCCTGCTGTAGAAGGGCATTGTAGTCAGGATAGTACTGCGTCTTGAACCACCGAATGAGCTTGACCAAGACTTTCAAGAGGACGAAGATCTTGACTGTGTGGTTCGTGCTAGCAGACTAGGCAGGTTCAATAGAACTGAACGACTGGATGATGACGTCGCCGCCAGGCTCTTTCCGCGCTATGTAGAACTGCCACACATGTCCGATGACGATCCATCCTGCCACAGGTGGTAGCGGAAGGTCAGAATTGCCCCCGACCTGACGCAGATGATCCAAGTAAGTGAGCATCGCTGTCTGCCACACCATGAGCTGCAACTGAGCTTCTACCTGATCACCACCATGGCGCTTGACCTCGAGACCACAGAGCAAGGGCAGTCTTTCCGTATAAGCGTCCGTCATGGGTGATGATGGAATCAGTTCTGGCTGGACAGCGAAGTGAGAACCCTTCTCCATGTCGACTGCAATGGTAAAATCTATCTTTTTGTCGATGAGTCTCAGCTGGGATGTACGCGGCAGAAAGGCAGCTTTCAGAGCTTGGGACTGGACGTTATTAATTTCCAGCGCAAATTCGTTATCGAGGTCGCTGGCAACATCAAGAGCAAGCTCCAGCACCAGGCGGACGACATGACACCACGCATTCTCGTCCATCTGGTTGCGTGAGCATTTAGCGGTGCGACGGCTGATTTCTTGCACTCGCTTCCAGCCAGCCTCGACGTCGACTCCCCAGTCGTAGAGCTGCTCGTCGGGCATGAAAGCGGACTCGGACAACGCCAAGTTTGGATAATCCTTCTCAAAGTGACTGCGCATTGAGGCTGGTATGGCACGTTCCGAATCCAGGGTGAGAGTTTTTATAAGGTCTCTACATTCATTGGAGGTTTGCTCATTACCAAGGCTGATTCCAGTTCCAGTCGCACCGGTGGACGAGCCGCTGTCATACCCAAGATTGTTTGGCGTACAGGACTTCGCGAATGTGATCGTGACCGGGTCGTTGCCCTTGAGTGCAGCTCAGGAAGACTATCAAAAGGCGTTTGGAAATGCTGACTGCTGCTTCTCTCCACTCCTCTTCCCCTTCCTCCTCTTCGTGCGCGGCCGGTCATGGCGGTCTGTGTTGCAGCTTCCTCTTCCCAAAATCGATGTCGGTGTTGTCCCTCAAAAACACGAATGTCACCCTCTCGATTTCGCTTGCGTCCTCGTGGGTGATCCGACTCAAAGTCTGTACATTCAAACTCTGACATCTGGGATGCGGTCGACATTATTCATGTAAATCGGTGGCTCTCACAACCAAGTCGTCACATCGCATTCTGGTTTGTTGTGTTGTCATGGTCTCAAACAGATCGCGCCGCCCACACCAATCAACAGAAGTCCCCCGGGGCTTGGCGTCACGCCCGTCGTGAATCGTTGGCTTTCACACCTGCCGGCTTGTCCGCTTTGCCGCAGACATTTCATCTTTGAAAGCCTGCCAGCCAACACATGCCCGCGCGCTTACTGTTGCCGCCCGTCTAACAACATCGACAGGCGGACACGGCACAGAAGCCAACAAGTCAGCGCTGCATGGGAAGAACTGCTAACTATTCAACAAGTCGCTTTGTTCTGTTATACGGAACTTGTGCGTCTATATCAAGACAGTCATGCACATATCTCCTGTGAAACCCAATGTTTGCATAAACCGAGATAATTTGATCGTAAAGGAGAGATATAGTGCTAAACTATGTGGTAGCTAATGCTCAAGAGAAAGCAAAAGGCTGATATTACAGGTACATGATACGAATAAAGGAAACGTGTTTATCTAATCTAGAGGATGAAGGAGATGATGCTGCCGAGAACGTAAGCACCAAGGCCAACAACACCTCTGAGGTGAGCGGCGAGCTCAGCCTTGAGGCCGACAACGACGGAGCATGCAATGGTGATCAAACCGTGGCAAGCAGTGGCGAGAGAGAAGATGACGAGCTTGAGACCGGAGAGACCGCAGACCTTGATGGCGAACTTGACAGTGAACTCGACCTCGAGGAGGAGCTCGGCGATCAGACCGGCGAGCTCAGTGCTGCTGTGGCCAGAGATGCCGCTAACAGTGCTGAGGTGAGCCTTGGCCTCACCGATGAGTCCGATGAGGATCTGGATGTTCTCCTTGACTTCAGCGACTTGAGCAGCAGAGGCCTTGCCCGAGATGCCGTTGCAGGTGGCGTTGATTGCACCAGTGTAGGAGTGAATGTGGTCGGCGAGGATCTCGAAAGTACCCCAGACGTTGACGGTGCTGTTGAGACCGAGATGTACGTCGAGGGAACCGCCAGCAGCGCCAGAAAGAGAACCGCCGATTCCTGCGTTCAAGCCAGCTGAGCCTGAGCCACCAAGCCCTGCTCCTGCATTCAAGCCGGCTGAGCCTGAGCCACCAAGCCCTGCTCCAATGTTCAAACCAGCAGCACCAGTTCCCTGGGCGCCGAGAGCACCTGTGCCAGTCGCTCCGGCGTTCAGGCCGCCGTTGAGACCACCGTTAAGCCCGGCCGAGCCTCCGATTCCGCCAGAAATACCACCCTCACCACCGATGCCTGCAGCACCGGTTCCTTGGGCACCGAGAGCGCCTGT